CACACATATGTTAGTTGTATATACTAGCTTGTCTATAGATATATAAGGTACATAGGATACAATCTTGCAAAATTCATCATCAGCCCTACTGTAAGCTGAGCATTTGCATCTGGGTTCAACAATAAGTGCATGTGAAGTATATTACTATTGTCAGCAGGTTCCAAAAAGCTCTTTAACATTGTAGGTTGATAAGCAAAAGGGGGTCAATTATTTTACTTCACTGCGGGATAAATGTATATGACCTGTCGTTAGCTGTAGGCGACACAGCGAGAGCGGCACTCACAGGTGATGCAGAGGCGAGAAACGGATCGTGTAAAAATATATGGCACCTGCCGTCTGTGGTCTGTATTTACGTCTGAACTCTGTCCTAAAAAAGGGTTTGCTTCAAAAACAAAATAAATACAAAATAGAGGATGGCTATCAGTCATATGTAGGCTACATAATGTTTCTAGAGTCCTACAAATCACCTTCTCGATTCAACACAGTTATTTCAGATTTGACCCGATTCGTTCTCGGAATTTTGTTTTGTTTCAAGCAAGCTATAAAAAAGAAAAAAAAAGAGCGGGTTTATCTAGAGTTCGTGACGTTCACGAGGGTCTCGAACTCACGACTCACGAGCGACTCACACGGGCCCACGGCCCAGTCCATGGACCGTGTAAGCGCTGAGCACTCAGCTCAGCACTCAGCAGTCAGCACACGGCATAGCTTCTTTCTCTCTTTTTAGTCTTTAGTCTCTCTTGTATTTAGTGTTTACAAACATAGTCAACTAGTCAAAGTCTATCATAGACTCATACAGTATGAGTATGTATTTAATTTATTTGTTATTTTAAAAACAATAGCCGCCATGATGATTGGTGAAAGGCCTCATCGCCGGCATACCTATACCCCCACCAGAACATCACAGGGTTTTTTTTGGTTTTTGGTTTGTTCATTTTGTACTAAAAATCTGAAAAAAATTAACAAAACATAATCACAATTGGATACAAGACTCCAAGAGTCTTAGAGTCAAGCGTGTCGAGTCACTCGAGTGTCGACTGTCGAGTCACGAGCAGTCCTGTCACTCCTTTGACTCTAAATTGCAAGTTTTGTTTTTAACTCCAAGGAAGATAAAATAAGCAATTTAGCCTCCAAATGATCAAAATGTTAAAAAAAAATTTCTCGATTGGCAATGTAAACTAGTAGTATACATTCTTGTTCAGTTCCTGTGGAATCCTGGGTTCCTCTCTCTCACACTCTCTCGTTTCTGCCCCAGAGAGTGCCAGACTGCAAGTGCCCGGCCCGGACTTTGATCTATGTGTACTATTTTTAAAAATAAAAAACGATTATAACTTCTAGAAATCTGAGTGCATTATTTTGAAAAAACATTTAAAATTTCTTGAAAGTTATAAACCGTGTTTAAAAAAATCCGATGAAAGTTCAGGTTAATCAGGACATTTTTTAAAATCAATCCGTGCACGACAAAATGAAGTAAAAATATTACCATGCTCATTAAAATTCTCCCCAATACTCTACGGAGTAATAGACAAACATATTATATTGATATTTGTTAACTGTACTTCGAAGTAAAGTGTAGATAGTTTAAAATTTTAAAATTTGCTCTCTTTCGTTCGAAACTATCGAAGAGATAATATAATACATTTAAAAAGTTTGGAGAATGATTTCATTAGTTAATATTATCACAATCACTCTAAATTTTCCCCTGCTGTTTTAAATGAACAAAATTTGACATATCAGAGTATTCAGAAAGCTATCAGTAATAGTTCTAATCTATTCTTAGAGCATCTAAATGAGTAGAGAATTTCGAGCTCAATCTATAAAAAATGGTTTAAAAAATACAATGTACGATTGCTATACACTTTACTCCTTTTGCAAGAACTTAGAAGTGGCATAGTGATAGCCGCCAGGGGCCCTGGGGCTTACTGGGGCTAGGCTCAGGCCCCAGGGGTCAAGGACTCAGGGCTGTCCCAGGGCCTTAGAAGGCCCAACCCCAGACTGGCCCAGAGCCCTCTTTCTAGTAGTACATAGTAGACTCCAGAGTCCAGTTTTTAGAGCTACTAGCAGACTGTTTTTTTAGGTACTATTTTTAGTCTGTATAGTGCAGACTCCGCATTCCGCAGTCCGCACTCGGCTGAGTCGTCAGTCGTCAGTCGTTAGTCGTCCCTCGGCTGCATCCCGCAGGCGTATGGGTGGGGTAGCCGGGCAAGCTGGCGGCCTAGCGAGGTACATATCAGCCTTCAGGTAGCTCTACTACTCTTTAGAATTGGCTACTAAAAGCGAGAGTACTGAGTAGCGGCCTGGCGCAATGGCTCCGGGCCAGCGGGCCTCCGACAGGCACAAGTATTCGTTCTATTTTTATTCATTCCAGCAATGATAGACAGAGCAGATGGGGATTATAGGATTGGTGCTGGAATTCTGACGCTACTACTCTGACACTCTTGAAACTCTGTGAGTCAATATAATTGTTTTTTTTTCAAAAAGTGTCTCGTACAGCTTCATTTTTATTATTATATGGTATGACTGTAAACGTTTAAAAAAATAAATAGTAAAGAAGTCGTGAGAGTCTGTAAATATCTTCAGGTCTGGTCTGTGTCTCTGCGACAGACTGACAGTGACAGCAGTTAGTCCATTTGTGTAGTGTCTTGTGTGGTATTGTGTAATGTTGTTGGACACTTGTGACCTGACCGATGTTGAAGTGATGAGTCTACGCGAGTAACGACACTTTTTAGAGCTGCAATTTTTTTTCTTCCTTCAATTTTTTATAGTGTAATACTAAAATATATATATACAGTGTTTACCCACATTTCCACAATCGCTCAATTAGTAATGAGAAACGGCGGCTCAATATTCTGTCGAGCGCTGGTAAACGACAACGACAAGTACCTCTGGAAAATGATAATAATTGAGAATACTGTCGCGAAATACATTTTTTTTGAGGAAAGACAATTTGTTTACTAATAATATTTTAAAACAGACTCAAAAATTAAGAATTTCAGAGACCATCGGCCCAGCTCGCCATATATTTTCATCAAAAGTCTATGTCGTTTACCTGTTATCTACAAATTTGAACAACAATCTCTTGTGTGGTAGACTGATAAGAGCTGATGTTTGCTCTGTTGGGCTAGTCCACAGCCGACAGGGCACAGTAGCCAGAGAGGAAGACAGTTCAGGTTAGTGGTGACGCTCTCTGAGTCAGCCAGCAACTTGTGTCACAATGACAATTGTCATCCCGTGATCCCGACTGATCCGGTGATCCCGCTTGTCCGTCTTATTGTTATATATTTTATATCTAAAAACAAAAAAACAAAAACAAAATTGATAAATATACATACCTGCGCTAATTCAATTGTTTTAAAACAAAAACAAACAACTACCGCCCATAGCCCTGTCTCCTTCTTTTAAAAAAAAGTCTCAATCTATGTACAGTTGTACAATGTAAATATTTACAGTTGTAAATACATACACTCTAAAATCTAAAAACACTCTGTTTGGTGTTAAAAAAATTACACACTCTATTTACACTCTATGTACCGGCCTATTCTTGATTTAAGAAAAAAACAATCTACTGAATTACTGTACAAAACATCCGCGGTCTCTGCTGGGCATATATAGAGCCATATAGACTCTGGGAGAATGAGACTCCTGGGAAATCCGGCACACAGTCAGTCAGTCACACATACAGGGTAACCTCATTACGTTTATATGCATAGCCTTCTAAAAAATAGACACAAATATGGCTATTTATTATACTCTGGAACAGAAACACTTATTTATTCGATTTATAAAGGTTTTAACGTTTTTACAGGTCTATTATAGCTAACAAAATTCTCAAATTTGCCCTTGACATTACACCTATTTCTATCAAAATGGACTACTGCGATGATCATTTTGGCGCCAGAATATTTAGAAATATAGAAATCTCATGACTAGGCTCTAGGAGAGAAGAAATAAAATAATATGCCTGGTCGGACAATTGTCCGAAAATCTTCTAACCTTTTATATGCACCCTATATATTTGCATAGGGCGATATTTAAAAATTAGTATAAAAGTTTAACGGAAACGCTTATTTGTTCAATCTAAAAACATTTAAAAAAAATGGAAAACGGCACACAGTTTGCACAATGCACAGGTGATATTAATGTATTTATTTAGCACTGCCGAAGTGACAATTGACACCCATCGACTTCTGCACCTTGTTGTGAGGTATTTTATATATATAAAAAGTAGTAAAAACATAGACTTTTTTTAAAATTGGCAAGTTTTTTTTTGTGTGAAATAGAAACGGTTTGGTAGAATGTCAATGTGGATATAAATATTATAAATACAGTATTCACTGATTAGGCCATCAGTCAGATGAGTAGTGCTTTTTATTTTTGAAATATATTTCGGAGCTTCTTTTTGAATATCATAAATTTCGCCTGTTTTATAAAAAATAAAGTCCAACTTTATATTTTTTGGCAATTGGCATTTGACAGCAGTATTTGGCACCTGTTAGACTGTTAGTCACGCACAATGCGACATATATAAGCGTGTAAATCGCAGCTAGATTCTACCACAGTTCAGCGAAACAGTGACATAACATCCACCACAATTCTTTAGGTGTAATACTAATTGAAACTATAATAATATCTTTCTTATTTCGAAACGATAGCTGTACTTCCAATATGTCAGCGAATAGTAATATGTTCGATATTCTTCAGCCGATAGCCTCGCACACATTGCCAAGACCAGTAAGGCAGTACTGTATGTCAAATAATACTCGCACGAGTTCTCATACCAGCAGTAGCACACTCAAATCAGACTTCGGTGGTGCACAAAAACCTAAAATAGATCCTTGGAATGTGGAGGCATCAATGGAATATATGGACGTCACACACTCGGCCCACTTTCGCGAATGGGTTCGATCGGAGGAAAATCTACATCTCACAGCACACCATTTACGGAGAGTGCTGACCGAGAGTACGGTAGACACTGAAGTACGAAAGGTAGCTAATGGACTACGTTGGATCATGAGTGACTGGTCTACTAAGTCCGTTTCTGAATTGATGAAACTGCTTGGGAAAGGCAGATCCATAACATGGACAGCAACGGTAACAAATTTAATATCCGCCGAGTTTCCGCTGTTTCCCGACACAGCCGAGGTGGTTATGGCCATGATTGATAAGAACTCACCAGAACAAGCATCAGCATTTGTGAAGGTTATTAGTGCGGACTGGGATTTAGAAGCAGTAACAGAGCTCGTGTTCCATGTTGGACGCGAGTTTGAGTGGGACGTTGACAGGTATCTTGAGTTTATTACCAGTTATGCGTTCAATGACAGCGGAAAAGAGCGCAATGGGGAGGAGAGAGAAAGATGTATGAAGTTTCTATTCTCTGCAAGAAGCATCATATGTGAAATAACAAAAAAGAATATGGTAGCTGCACAACCAATCAACCCCAACAAAGAGCCCATAGGATTCAAACCTGAGCAATTGGAGGAGAGCGAAGCTTCCACTATTGCGAGTTAGCACCCAAAAGAATATTTAGTAAAAAATATCGGGTTTTTTTATTACAAAATCTGCAAGTGTAGATCAGAAATTTTGCACAATAGTTTTTATGTAGTCTACTGCGGAGCTGAGTATTTGAATATCTGAGCTAAACTTGGAAGACAAGGTGCACCACAATGTAGTGTGTTGCACATTCCAAGTTCCAACAGATGTCGGATTACTTCCACTGGTTCAGTATGGTATGCTGTCCTGATCAGAGTTTGAAGCTGCTAGGATAAGCAAATCCGGACGCCGCGCATCCGAGCGTACCTGGCCTGCCACTAACCTAACTTACGTTCTCACACGTCATCTGTGGTGCGCCTGGACTGTATCTGAGGCCGATTGTCGCTTTGCAACGCAACAGCTCTGTGCATCAACACGCGCCTAATGTTTCAACTGTGTAGCACAAAATTCGTAAATTTTAAGGTATTCAAGAAAGAATATCTGCTTTCTCCAAGTATATATATATATATATATATATATAGATATAAATATATATATAGAGATAGATATAGAAACAAATATATACACATACATACACACATATATATGGATATAGAAATATATCATACGGACAAATATATGCATATACGAACGTATATATATATATATGCATTATATAAATTTATATAAATATATGCATGTATATACGAATATATATATATATACATGTATGTTATATATATATATGCACGTATATACGAATATATATATACATATAAATTTATATGCATGTTAATACGAATATATATATTTATACATGTATATTATTTTATATATATATAATAACGTACAGATAGACATAGATATATAAATGTAAATATATATATATATATATGTTTGTAAATATATATATATATATGTATACGTAAATATACTAATATATAAATGTAAATATATATTTCTATATGTATACATATGTATATATATGGAACACATACACATACGCACATTTATATATATATATATATACATACACACACCCCTACACATTGACACGACTGAGAATAACCCTGATGTACCTCGTAGCAGTCGCTAAACTTATGAAATCTCACACTTGACTCGAAACAAAATAATTCAGACCTCTCGGTTCGAGACATATCAGTAATTATAACTCTAATAGGGTTTAGTTAATTGAATAGTTTTAAGCTTAGCATACTCGCATGATACCCTGGTTAAAAAGCCAATCAAAACGTAAACCTCTGAAATAGCTGGCTATGAAACAGCATGTGTCTCTACACAGCGAGTTCGATATGCATTCTCACAGAGGCGTAAAGCGAGCTGATGAGTGGGGTTAAGGTCCCGTTGCAAAACTACAAACAGCAATATAAGCAATCACCTTCCTGTGCACGTATTCCTGGGTTCAATGGGCACATACATGCATCACAATCACATCGGTAGTATGTGCTCTATGTGTAGGGTATACCTACTCCAATGTAAGTATAGGCACGAGCCATGACATACGATAGAAAGTATTCGATCAAGACCCTAATGGGGATTATTGAGTCTCGTGATATTGGATAGCCCTCCAGCCGTGTTTGCGCCATTCGCATATACCCCATTTGATCCACGCACACCCCATTGAAAGGTTCATATACACCGTTATATTTCTCGTGTCCCTACATGCGAATAAAATGTACAGCTGCAGGCATCTAAGATGTGCACACTCTTGTATGCGCCTCAATTCCATCATAAGCAGCACTGCCCCGAGCCCGTTCCGTGAACATCATCTGTGTCCTCAGCATTGATCTGTGGTCAACCATTCCCCATTCAATCGTTCGCGGAGCTTATTTAAGAATCTATATCCCATATATATATTTACACACACACACATATATATTTATACAATATATATATATATACATACATATAATATATGCCCTACATTGTCAGACAAATCTTATCGCAACCGTGAAATATCTCATCGCTACTATACTTGGCCGCAATACATGCGTAGTGTTATCATTCTTTCTGACCCTGGCTCTGCTCCGTTCACCATGTCGCACCTCCCACCCCAAAGTCTCTACCCTTGGGCGTATGCCGCGCATTTTACCGATACACGTATAGATATATATTTACATATACATATATAGATGTATATGTCTATATATATATGTATATCTGTATATGTATAGTACATATATACAAATACAAATACAAATACATATATCTCGTTACGAGCATTCCTTTCAGTCGTCTTCATCTCTGTCCCGCCTGTTTCGCGCGCCATTCCCGCCAGATGCTGGTGGCGGGGGTGTGGCGGTGGGTACTTGGTCCGCGAAGTTCTTACCTGCGCCTATGATCTGTAATTGGAAGGATGACGCATTGTACTGAGAAATACTATCCACACATTTATACTTTACTACACGAATGGAATAGACAGACACATGTATACGACAGTACATGTGTTCACCCTACAATACCACACATATGCATATATACGCATAACTCAATTTATATACTCACAAGTACTTGGATGTACACAAAGGTCAAGGTCGCACAGACACAACGGGATAAAGTTAAAAGTAGTGAACATTGTATATGGAAGAGAACGATGGATAGATAGTCCGTTAATAACTGCATGACCACAGTATACGCTGCCATGGGAACATTTGCTCCTGCCTTCGCACATCAATCAGTGCATGAGAAGATTAGTTATCGCACAGGAGCAAATGTGCCCTGATAAGGTCCTATAACCCTAAAACTATAAGAGAAAATGTGCCCTGATAAGGTCCTAAAACCCTATAACTGTGTGCAGTGGCATCACAAACAGCAATAGAACTATATATAATAGGGACACACACATACTACTATGAACATGTATATAAACACGCCACTACAAACATAAGTACGAGATAAGAAGTGAACGTACGAATGCACATACACACATACCCCTAAACACATTCATACATCCAGACACTCGTACATATATACAGACAAACACACATATATACTACTATACACATACATATATACTACTATACACATACATATATACAGACAAACACACATATATACTACTATACACATACATATATACAGACAAACACACATATATACTACTAACACATACATATATACAGACAAACACACATATATACTACTATACAC